TATATATATAACAAACAATCTAAATCATAATGATTGAAACCTCAACTATTATTAAAGTTGAGTAGATAATGTCTTTGGCTCAAAAACGTGCGTGTATATTTCACTTTTGTAATATATACAAATTCAAATATAAATATTTATTTTTGTTATGCGTTTATGTTTTTAAGTCTCTTATGCTCTCCAAAGCTGCTTTTATTTAATCAAAAATAAAATAAAAACATCAACATTATGACAACATTATACACTCTAGCCCGCCGTGTGTTTCATTGTGAAAGCGAAACTACTTTGTTTGGCCTTCAAAAAGAGGACACGAATAGAAATCAGTGGTTAAGTTGTATTTACAACACTGTTCCAGAACACTTCAACCCAAATATTCAGATGTGTGAAGCACATTTTATGGAGGACTGTTTCCTGATCCTGGGAGAGTAGACTACAATGCCGGCTGTTCTGACTCAAAGACTGTAAGTAGCTAAATTTTTTATATTAAAGAATTTGCCACTGATGATTCAAACGCGAGTTTTGAGCAGTGTAGAGTAGCACTTGTTGTTTGTCATTTCTCCGATCAAAAATGCAGACATGGTTTTATGTTTACGTGGCGCGATGCAATGCGTAAAAAGACAGTATAAGTCATTATAATCCTTAATTATGTCCCCACTGGATGCAACAAATGCCTCGTTTATAATGGGTTTTAATGTTTTTTCTTGTCGCTCCGGCTGGACAGGGCATCACAGTATGGTAAGAGGTGTAACATTTCCGTCACACGCGTGAGGTATTCGGCCAATCACAATGCACTGGATAGCTGGCCAATCAGAGCACACCTCGTGTTTCAGAAAGGCGGGGCATAGAGGAGAAACAATAATGTACAGTATGTGGAAAATAATGTGTTTTTTGAACCTTAAACCACAAACATTTCATTATACCAAATACACAAAATAATGTTCTTTTTAGCAACATCATATGACCCCTTTAACATTATGAATAGTATTATAATTTAAATAGCTGTTTTATGTGTTAATATATTTTAAAATGTAATTTATTACTGTGAATGCAAAGCTTAATTTTCAGCAACCATTTCTCTGGTCTTTATAGTGTCACATGATCCCTCAAAAATCATTCTAATATGTTGATTTGGTGCTCAATAGATATTTATTATTCTTATCAATTGTGATTTTAAATTTTTTGGCAGAAATTGTGATTTTTGAGAATTTTTTTTATAGAATTTATATGAAAGATAAATCTTACACATTATAAATATATTTTCTTTCGGCATTAATTGTTTTCATTTAAAAAAAACATACTGAACCCAAACCTTTGAATGGTAGTGTATAAATATTTTTATTTGTTACGTCTTAAAAACTATGCACATATATCAAAGTAAATGCCATCCGTACATTTACTGAAGTACACGATATTGAGGAACATTTAAACCAGATTGTTTCCGGTGTTCTCCCCCTCTGCCTCCCCTAAATTTGGAATTTTGGGTCCTCCATCACAAAGCTTCAACAAGCAGCTGACTGTTTCCCAGGATGCACAATGAGGCCAGTCGCGCCACTTATAAGGTTCCTAAGTGGCACAACTGTCCACATTCACAAGTCTGAATGGGCCTGGCTGGCCCTGGGGCTCATCGCCCGATGCTGCACCCACTTTTAGAGGCCAGTTAGGGCCACTGGTGGGGTTGCGTTGGTCTTGGCCCCTAGCACGTCCGCATTAAGAGACCCACAAGCTGTTTTATTCTATAAGAACCACCCTATCAAACTTCTATGCATCTGCCCAAGAGAGGTCAATGTCCCACCGTCGGTTTGCAAATGCAGCCCCTTGCAGTGACTGGTATAGTTTATATACACATACTGAGGAGGACTAAGGGTGTAAGGCTGAGAACAAGACCTCCTGTAGACCTGGTATTAACAGTTTCTGGCCACTTCAATGGAAACAGGACAAAGGGTAAACCGATAAACAGGGTGTAAACCTCTACCACACTATACTTCAGGTGTAAATGCTCATTCCTTAAAAAAAAAAAAAAGCAGCTAGGGACTGCACACTCATCTGTCAATCAACCAATGATTTCATATTTAGATCAGCTAAATACCACCTTTAAAAAAACTAAATTGAGCAATCATTTTATATGTAGCAATACATATATATACAGTGGGTACGGCTTTTCTTTTTTAATAAATCTGCAAAAATGTCAACAATTCTGTGTTTTTCTGTCAATATGGGGTGCTGTGTGTACATTAATGAGGAAAAAAAATTTACTTAAATGATTTTAGCAAATGGCTGCAATATAACAGAGTGAAAACTTTAAGGGGGTCTGAATACTTTCCGTACCCACAGTATATTAATCATTTTTTAAATTATTCATTATTTTTTAAATTATATTATATTAATTATAATTATATTATTACTTATTTTAGTCTTTCTATTTTATCATTTGATTTTAATATTTTATTATTAATTAATCAGAATATGGTCATAAAGGCAACGATTTTTTGGACCTTCCCCCTAAAATTAAAAGTAGTTAGAGAAGATAAGATGCACATTACTGCCAGGTCTAAAAGGTGGTCTCATCTGACAATTTGCGATCGAATCACATGAGACAGATCTCGATCCCAGATGAAAACAGGGCCAAAGTTACTCTTTAAATAAAAAATTACTATAAAAAAATAAATAAATCACACACTCACCTTTGTCTCCTCCACTCTCATGGAGTCCAGGAGGTAGTGCAGCAATTCCTGACTGTCCTGTTGCTGGTAACCCTTAAAGCGAGGGGCCCTGAACACACACACATACACACACAGAATGAGAATTCCTGTCACACAAACACAGTGGCACAAGTGTAAATACATTCACAGGGACAAAAGGAGCCAAAGCCATGCAAACACCAATAAGCCACACACAAAAAGCAATCAGCAGCATATAGACGAGTAAAGACGAGAGAAGAATGGACAATCTTCTCTCAAGGCCTTTTCTCTGATGCTGCATGAGGTGACTCTCGCTGTCTCTCGGCAGGTTTCAGGATCTTAGAGGCAGCTATTATTTTTCACTGACAACTTTCATTCACTTTTCATTTCATCATTCAACCAGCTGAGGTCGGTCACACACACGCAGCCACACATCATACACATTCAGACACAAAGATATATAAAAGTAGTCTGACCTTTAACCAATTCTCTCACTATACTGAATTATAGACCCAAGATTGGAATTTATTTCTCTGAGATTTTAAAGAACTGAAAAATGTAATTAAAAATATGAAAATGAAGCCTGCAAGTATTAAATTCCCGCAACTTAATATGGAAGAACCACCTTATACAGCCAAGTCATTTTAGATGAGTATATATCAGCTTTACTCACTGTTGATGTGTGATTTTGTTTGATTCTTACAGGCTGGTGTGTTTACATTATTAAGATTTGCGTTTGTAATGGAGATTTTAAAATGGCCAAAATGTTCTCAGTAATACTGAACAAAGAACAGATAAGGGTTATGCAAATTTCATGCAAAATGCAAATTTTCAATAATGACAGTTATTAAAAGAACCAAAGACTTAAACTACTTCAGTCTGTGTGAATTGAATTTATTTAATACACGAGTTTCACAATTTGAGTTGAATTACTGAAATAAATGAACTTTTCCACGACATTCTAATTTATTGAGATGCACCTGTATATATATATATACACATATATATATATATATACACACACACACACACACACACACACACACACACACACACACATATATGAAATGACATAAAATGAATGAATAAATATTGTATAGAAAAAACACTGCAATTGTGTAATTCTGCATGTGTAAACAGTGATTAATGTGATACTGACTTCAAACAAACCATTTCTAACAGAGATAAACTGAAAACACAAGTTCTTTATAGAAAAACAACCTCATGAGACAGTATTTACAGTATATTCAACAATGTAAACTTTGCCAAAGATTTACTGCCTATTTTTTTTAAACCAACAACAGCAATTTATGGTATTTATGACCAAACAATTACGGTGACCTAAATTTCGGTGCATCCCTAAACTCATATCTTGATGTCCTTCTACCATATAAAGCCACATGCTGAAAATCACTGAAATTATGTACAACCCTCTACGCACAGCTTGGCAATATAATCGCCATTGGCTAGTACATTTTTTAGTTTACTCGCCAGACTGATATACTATTTTACACACACACACACACACATACATACATACATGCATACGTGAACTACTACATGATTCCACCAAATCAGCTTATCTTTGTAAAATAGCACAGCTTCTTAAATATCTGAATGTACATTCTTAACATCAGTCAATCAAGAATTATACTATGATAATGTGATAATAAAGCACCATTTAATGATAGAACTAGTGATTAGAACTAAAACTTGGTAACTATGTATGAATACATTTGTCATTTTAACTGAACTTAGGACTGGTGGTGATGCTTAAGATACCGTTGGTCATAGATAATAGTAATTATTATTAAAAGATAATACTACTACTACTACTACTAACTGCTGGGTTCAAGAATATTAATCACGTTAATCATATTAATTAACTGATTTGTTGAAATCAAAACAGGGACGGTAATAGATGAGCACAGATCGCTTGACGGAGAGCAAAACTCTCAAGCGTTCAGTCAGAGAGTTCAGCGAGTGAAAATATATCTGTGCTAAACGCATGGCCGTCGCAAGGGGGGTGCGAGGCCCTCAGCAATTGTGGGGGGGGGGGATCGCTATAGTAACGAACGCAACTTTAACGTGCATCTGATCGATTGTGATGCCGTGCTCACAGACATGCTTGCACACGAATCACGGTCAAGCACACGCTCAGAGTTGTAAGATCTACTGCATAATAATAATAATAATAAAGCAATTAAATAAGTAAATAAGAATGCTAAAATATGTTCTAGGTTTGTAGTTATATATGAAGAGTTCAGATGCAAAAGCCCCTCTAAGTGCCATCTAAAAAAATTTTTTTAAATGTTTATTTTCTCAGGCTCCTTTGTTTGTGTTCACTTATTTTACTTTAATGGGAAAGAAAAGAAACTATTCATTGCCATTAAAGTGAAATTACTGAACCTACACATAGGAGCCTGATAAAAATGCTCATTTTAGAAGAATTTCAAACGGCACTTAGAGGCTTTTGCATCTGAACTCTTCATATGAAGCAGTAATCAATTTACACTATTTGAAAATATTTTATTTTAAAATGTGCACATTCACTCTTATTCGTATGTCTAATAGTCGAAAACGCAAACGTCTCTTGTCACGTTCATTTATGATTTACATGAATCATGATCGCATATTTTCAATTCAAAACAGCGAAATTTCATAAAAAGTTGAGTTTGCATCACTAGATAGTCTATTACGGTCGGTCGCTGAACATTTCTATCGTAAAACAGTTTTCTAATACAGTACTACTGTACTTACATCTTTCCACAAACTCTCGTTGCGTTGTGACAGTAAGACCCATCTTCTTTGATTTGATTGGCCATCTCGATCATTTTGACATTGACGAGCGCTGTTGGACCACTGAGGCAGACCAGCCTAAAAGTTTAACTTTTAAAACTTTGTCATCCTAACAACAAACAGCTTTACTCATTCTTATACTGTCTATCAGCCATGACTATTTTAGTCTTTCAAAAAACTTATTAAAGACATAAATGACATAAAATGCAAGGAGCGAGGCCCTGTGCGGTCTCAAACTTGGCACAGCCCTTGCGACGGTACTGGCTAAACGTATATTTAGCCTCCAACTCACACACTGGCGAGTAAAATCTAAGAATTTATTAGCCAATGGCTAACGATAGACATTATTTAGTTGCCCAGAGTAAGATTTAGTCACATATGCGAGTGATTTACTCGCAATGTAGAGTGTTGATGTACAGAACAGAACCAGACAAGACCACCCTAAATATAAGTTCGTCCTTCCTCCCAGATAACCCTGTGATAAATCTAGCAGAAAAACATGTTGGGCGTTTAGGAAACATCTCCTTAGACATTCTGCTGGGTAGCCCAGGCCAGATGTGGGCCAGCTGCGGGCAACATATGGGCGGCTGGAGCCGGCCCTGCATCAACCTGTTGTGCAGTGAGTCTGGATAGCTGGTCAAGCTGATGGGAAGGCAATTTGGCCTGGTGATGAACCCAAGGGTAAAGGAGCAAGTCAAGGTGTTGGGTCGGGTTGGGATGCCTAAGGCTGTCCAGATGCTCATCAATGATTTTGCTATTACCTGCTAAGCTAGCAAGCACTGTGTTTGTGAGGGCAGGCTGGGTGAATAGATGCACTGGCAGGACGGATGGTCAGACAGTCTGGAACACCTCTACCATGGGCTGATGAGTTTTGACGTTCTGTGCGGCTCTGTGTGATCATAGTGCGTTTAAGAATGTCCAGCCACCTGCTTCTAACACAGGTCATGAACAGGGGGTCTGCAGAGACTTTCTCTGTTTCTCACTGCTTCTTTTATCATCAGCACTACCATAAAAGCACATTCCCCTTGTTTTGTGTGAACCCTTGGTATTTCTAACTGACTCGATCCTAATGATCTGAGTGGTCTGTTAGGTTTATATTCAGTGAGCATATCTGCTATATATTTAGGTCCTAGGCCATTGAGTGATTTATAAACGAGTAAAAGTACTTTAAAATCAATCCTAAATATAACTGGAAGCCAGTGTAAGGAGAACTTACAGCATAAAAATACCACAGCAATCTACAGGGGAGTCTAAAAGTCTGAGACCAAATTTAAAGTCTAGGATTGGGATGATTTAAAACCTGAAAATAAAATTTTAGAATTTAGATTTTTTTCTGAAGTAAAATAATAATATTTTAATTTGATAAATTCACTTTATAAAAAGTCTGTGGTCAGTAAGATTGATTATTTTATTCATTTATTTTTTTAAAGATTTTTTTCAACAAGAACGCATTAAATGAAAAATGACAGTATAGGCTTAAAAAAAAAAAAAAAAAAAAAAGTAATTTCAAATAAATGCAGTCTTCTAAATTTGTTATTCATCAAATAAACCGATTTTGAACCCCACTGTCTATGCCTAGTCAGGGTATAAACAGGAATCATGGAGTTAAATTTAATACCTTTTAAGACCTTTTTTAAGACTCTTTCCATACATTGTAAGACCTCATCGTCCCTCAAAGTTTTAACCGGTTACATCGGCGACACTTTAACTTACATTTACTATATATTGATTGTAAGATTGAGGAGGGAAAATAAAGCTCTCCAAGCTAACGGGGCAATGAGTTCACACAGTAGACAGTACATTCAAAAGATGTATTTGTCACATCAACTCAAACCAAAGCTGTTTTGTGGAACACTTCTCATGACAAACATCTGACTGATCACGTGAGATTACGGAGTGCTTGATTTGATGCAGAATTGACAGAGTGTTAGTACTGCACCTGATCGTGTCTGAATGATTATGTAAGGTAAAATAATGATCACAACTATTACATCCTTTTAATTGTGCATCCCAAGCCTATGCCAGTAAAAAACAAAAACAGCCCAAAGTAGCTCAACTACCATGTCCCAAATATAAAAATGTAATTTCCATCCCTAAAATGCATATTTTACAGTCACTGTTATGCACATTTATCATAAACACAGCTCAAATGCTTCCTACTAGTGTGGCCCAAAACATTTATTAGTTTTATTACAGGTAGAATGCAAAATGTTTGAGTACAAGCATTTCAACCAAATGTAATTTATGCAATATTTCAAACCTTTAACCCACTGGGGAAAATCAACCCATGGC